TTTTTTTTTGAAACTTATGGTCAGTCCCCTTTCATAGCTTTTCAACTTAGAGTCTGTGTGAGAACCAGGACACCTGTCTTGTTGAAAAGGGAGACACAAAAGCTGAAAATGCCCGGAAGGATATGGCTTCCTGGAACTGCGGGATGTGTAGCTGCGGCTGTGGGGTGGACCATGGAAACAGGTTTGAAGAGAGAAGCTTTGTTCTTCTCCATCTCCTGTCATTGTTCTGAGCCAGGGTTCTGCCTCCTCCCTAGGGATGAAATTTGGTAGCAAGGGCCAGAAAAAGTAAAGTTCAAGGTTGGCACAGGTTCCCAGGGAATGAAGGTGGAAACCACTGTCTACCTTTCTCCAAACTCAAAAACATGAAATAATGGATTCTTTGTGTGTGTGTGTGAGATGGAGTCTTGCTCTGACGTCACCCCGGCTGGAATGCAGTGGCATGATTTCAGCTCACTGCAACCTCCTCCTCCCAGGCTCAAACCATCCTGCCACCTCAGCCTCCTTTGTAGCTGGAACTACAGGCGCCCACCACCATGCCCAGCTAATTTTTGTGGTTTTAGTAGAGATGGTGCTTCACCATGTTGGCCAGGCTGGTCTCAAACTCCTGACCTCAAGTGATCCGCCTGCCTTGACCTCCCAAAGTGTTGGGATTACAGGCGTGAGCCACCGCACCCGGCCAAGATGGACTCAGTTTTCACCTTGGCATCTCTCGAAAGGGAAAACTTGGGGAAAATCCACACCTCTACCCTTGAGTGAAGATGCCGAGTAATTATTTTATAGTTGGTCTTGAGCATCCTTTTTTTTCTGTGCCTCTCTCATCCCTTCTTGTTGTTCTCTTCTTCCAATTTGTTTCTGTCCAGGGCATTATGTGCTCTATCCAGAAACGCCCCACCCAGGCCTCTGGGGCAGGAGCTCAGGCTGTAAGATTACTTCCCTTTCTCCTTCTTCTGCACTTCATCACAACTCCGGTTCCCTGGAGGGTGCAGTTTATCTTAGCTAGTAGTTAGGAGAAAAGCATCTGGTTAAGTTAATTCAAATTAAAACCATGAAAATACTCTTCTTAAAGAGCTTGGCTATTTCCCCTTACTCCTGAAAACAGTCACACAGGATACCCAAGTGGGCTGACATGAGGGAATCATCTTTAAACCAAGATGCTCCTCTCTCCCTTGCCTGTAGTCTATGAGCTCTGTAGGCTCCTTTAAAGAAGGCAGGGCTTTCTTTCTTCCTCTCATGCCTCTGAGACATTTTCCAGAAATTTAAGGTGAAAGATGGAAAATATCTTTGTCAGGCCTCTGAGCCCAAGCTAAGCCATCATATCCCCAGGGACCTGCACGCATACATCCAGATGGCCTGAAGCAACTGAAGATCCACAGAAGTGAAAATAGCCTTAACTGATGACATTCCACCATTGTGATTTGTTTCTACCCCACCCTAACTGATCAATGTACTTTATGATCTCCCCCAACCGTAAAAAGTTTCTTTGTAATTCTCCCCACCCTCGAGAATGCACTTGGTGAGTTTCACCCACTGCCCCCAAAACATTGCTCTTAACTCCACCGCCTATCCCAAAACATGCAAGAACTCGTGATAATCCCACCACCTTTGCTGACAACTTTTTCGGACTCAGCCCGCCTGTACCTAGGTGACATGAACAGCCATGTTGCTGACACAAAGCCTGTTTGGTGATCTCTTCACACGGACGCACGAAACAATCCTCAGTAATGGTTCTCTAAAATGCACTTGACTTTTTGTTTGTTTGTCTCACTCTCACCCAGGCTGAAGTGCAGTAGTACGATATCGGCTCACTGCAAGCTCCGCCTCCTGGGTTCAAGTGATTCTCCTGCCTCAGTCTCCTGAGTAGCTGGGATTACAGGCACATGCCATCACTCCTGGAAAATTTTTTTGTATTTTTAGTAGAGACGGGGTTTCATCATGTTGGCCAGGCTGGTCTCGAACTCCTGACCTCAGGTGATCCGCCCACCTCCGCCTCCCAAAGTGCTGGGATTACAGGTGTGAGACACTGTACCCAGCCTGTACTTGACATTTTTAACACCTAGGGTCCTTGGGCAGATATCCACGTCTCTGTCTCAGGAGGCAGTCCTGGTCCTTAGCTCCCCACCCCAGCCCCCTCGCATCCCTGAAAATTGAGAACTGCCAGGAGCAAAGCGGATTGTTGCTGACCTCAGAAGAACACAGATGCAGTTAGCCATTTGTGAGGATGAGGGATTCAGTAACCTGGAACAGAAATAATGAAGATGAGGCCAGTCCTTCATGTGTGGCGTGTTTTCTTGGTGTTCTTTGCTCCTTTGGAAGAGACTTAGGGGACAGGAGCATGAGAATGGGGCCCCCAAATATCCCTGTTCCTTCTGAGGCAGGTGAGAGGCAGCCCAAATGAAAGCCCTCTTCCTGGCTGGTAAGGGCAGCAGAGATGGTGCTGAGACAGCTGTCTCTACATCATTTCTCAAAAAGCAGCAAAGGACTACATGGAGGTGAAATTCTTCCCCATCTCAATTTGCCTGCTTAGCCAAATGTGGAATGTTGTAGAAAGCATATCTTGAATATTAGTCAGGATTTTGTCAGCTTACAAGGCAAGAAGGAAGGGATTCGTTGACTCCAGTACTGGGAAGTTTAAAACATGACTCTTCAGATGTGACTGGGTTTAGGGATTTAAATAATGTCATTAAGGCCGGATGCGGTGACTCATGCCTATAATCCCAGCACTTTGGGAGGCCAAGGTGGGCAGATCATTTGAGGTCAGGAGTTTGAGAGCAGCCTGGCCAAAATGATGAAACCCCATCTCTACTGAAAATACAAAAATTAGCTGGGCGTGGTGGCACGCACCTGTAATCTCAGCTACTGGGGAGGCTGAGGCAGGAGAATCGCTTGAACCCAGGAGGTAGAGGTTGCAGTGAGTTGAGATCATGCCACTGCATTCCAGCCTGGGTGACAGAGTAAGACTCTGTTTCAAAAAATAAATATAAATAAATAAAGTCATTAGTTCCCTCTCTGCCCCTCGGTTGACTTGCCTTAACATTGGCTTTTTTCTCAGATAGGATCTCTCTGCTGAGTGGCAGATGGCCTTTGGGCAGCGATGAGTATTACAGTGTTTTCCCTGCATGTCTTTCCCATCAACTCCATCGAAAGTCCCAGGGAGGACTCTGACAGGCCTGGCCTGGGTAAGGTGTCCTTACCTGAACCAATCATTGCAGCCAGGAGGATGAAGTCCTCTAATTGGCTAGCTCACATTATGACCACAACATGTGTGGGGAAGACCAGGCAAGGAATTAGCCATCTTGTTAGGTAGAGGAGGAGCAATTCCCAAAAGAAAAATATACTAAGCAGATAAAAAGTAATACAACTATACACCTTTATAAGTGTCAACTTACTCATTACTAATGCAAATTAACCAGCAATAAGGTGAGAGATGTGAGAAATGCCAAGATTTATAAGACATGGCTTTTGTCCTTAAAGATCATATAATCTATTTGTTCCAGTAGCTAGTCACATTCTCTAATAATTTGAGGAAACATGAATGAATTCATTGGAAAATATTTGCTAAGTGCTTACTTAATGCCAGACACAGCTCTAGATTCCTGTTATACAAAGATAAAAGACAGCTTTCTTCCCGTAAAAACCTTACAATCAAGTGAGAGAGACAAGCAAACTAACAAACATTTAAAGTGCAGGACTTGGCTGGGCACAGTGGCTCGCACCTGTAATCCCAGCACCTTGGGAGGCCGAGGCAGGAGGATCACTTGAGCCCAGGAATTTGAGACCAACCTGGGAAACACAGGGAGACCCTGTCTCTACAATATTTAAAAATTAGCTGGGCATGGTTGTACGCACCTGTAGTCCCAGCTACTGGGAGGCTGAGGCAGGAAGATCACTTGAGCCCAGGTGGTTCAGGCTGCAGTGAGCTATGACTGTGCCACTGCACTCAGCCTGGACAGCAGAGCAAGATCCTGTCTCAAAAATCAATCAATCAATCAATCAATCAATAAAGTTCAAGGCTACAGTTGCAATGACAGAAGTGTGCACAGTTACCATGAAAGCCCCCAAAACGCACCAACAAAACGTTAGGCTCAGAGGAAGTGATTTGTAAGCCAGAGCTTGAAAAACAAGTGGGAGTCAGATGAGATTGGAGGGTGGGGAAGGATCTTCCAGACA